TCGTGTCGACGAAATGTTTTTCGACGAAGTGTCGTGTCGACGAAATGCTTTTCGACGAAGTGTCTTGTCGACGAAATGCTTTTCGACAAAATGTTGTGTCGACAAAAATTTTTCGACGAAATGCTTGTCGACGAAGTGCCGTGTCGACGAAATGTAATGTCGACGAAAATTTTTCGACAATAATTTTTCGACCAACTGCCTTTCGACGAAAATTTTTCGACGAATAACATGGTTACCATCATCATCATCGAAAAAACAAAAGCAATTAATTTGAATCATAAATCATAGAATTATTTTTTCGTACGCCTTTTGAAAATTGATTAGAGTGCATTATTCAAATGAGCATATTCGCTATCTTAGAAACACAAGATCAACAAGTCTGTTGAATGCGGCTGTACTGTCATTATATGAAAACTCGTTAAGACAAAGCCAAATAATTGTATAGAAAATTAAAAAGTTTTCATAAGATTCGATTTATATTCCATCGAATGAATATTTCTGTTGAAATCAAATCACTAATATCGAATTGAAACTTTTAAACGAGTATTATTATCAATTGAAACAAAATTCTTTATTAAGAAAAAAAAATTGAAGATAAATTTCGATTTCACATGATTGATTTGCTGATATATAATCAATTTTTCAGTTGAATATTGATGGTAGTAAATAAAATATACATATATGATTCAATCTGAACAAACATTATCAGTAGACATGACTTATTTCCTGTCAAAAACCAATTTTTGTTTTCGTCGATATTATTATTTTTATTGTACTCGAAAAATACCAAAGGAGCGAGCTCTTATCGTTCGACTCCCGCGAAAGTACTTTTGACTTCAAAAATTAAGAAATATTCTCTCAAAATGTTTCGTCGATACATAGGATTAGTAGATGAAAGTTCTACAATTGAAAACTTCTTTGCTACTAAACTGAAAGAGGAATGATTTTCTTTAGAAAAACAATTTAAAATTAAGGAGTTGGTTTTTACTTTTGAATAAGTAATATTGTTATTCATTCATCAGATGTATTAATTCGATCATAGGGTTTCTATCATATTGTTTGTTCTTGTTCATATGTAATTATTGTTGATGGATATGAAGCAACAGGTCGATCTTAAAATTTTCTTTTTTTTTCCTAGTAAATAAGAGTTTTTTCTGTTTGCCTTGTTTTTCTATTAATAAATGATTACTCAAGTTTTTGCACAAAGAATGAAAAAAACTTTAATGTTGTTTTTTTCAGATCCATGTAAATGAATAAAATTTCATATTCTAAATGAAAATCATTTTTTTTATATATTTAAATAAATCAACGATAAAATTAAATATAGCTAAATTAGTCATTTACAAAAATTCATATAAACAATCATTTAACTTAGACTATTATCCCTTCATATAATACTATAAGTGATTAGCTTTTGGATCTTGAGGCTTAGCATCATTGACAATTTTCTTACAAATATGAACTAACTTCCAGCTAGAGCCGAGTTTGTTACACCAGTTAGAATTTCAT